TCTCTTGCCCCACAAAGAGGTAAGAGAAGCTGTAGCAGCTGTACGGGGGGCTGCTTCCTGGCTGCTAATCCGCAAGGAGAGAATTATACACATCCCAGTCACCGCAACAGTCTGAACAGGATTTAGCTCAAGTCAACTCATCCTCTTCAATGTCACCATGTAAATGGAAACGTCTGATGGCCAAACAAGCTGCAGAGACCATATTCTGCTCCACAAGTCCTGCCTGGCTGGATTGGAAAGTGGAGAGCTTTGGCTGGATGGAACAAGGTGCAGCAGTGTCCTCCTTTCTGAAAGCCACCATGAGAGGGCTCACACTTCTCCGCTGTGAGGGGGGGAAACACAAATGCCAGGGGGAAACGCTGCCACCAGAGCTTTCTCTCCACAGACTGGAAGAAGCAGTCTTCTTCCACTGTATCTGCACGGTAGAGGTTTAGGATTAAACGATACAGTTTCCAGCCCTCATCTTGACTATGTAATTTCAGCTACAGCTGAATTAAAAGATGGGGAAAAAGGAAAGTGTAGCACTTCCCTGCCTTTCACAAGGAGCTTTGGGCTAATGGGAAGCATTCAAGAAATAGCATTTTCCTAAAAATACTTGTATTTTGTAGTTTGTATTTCGTTGCAGCCAAGGTGGGAGGAGATTTATACGTGTTGTTAAACCCCGCTTAGTTTCTCCTCTTCTACTGGTTTTCCTCATGAAGCAGAGCCACTACTGGCACGTAGCTGGTTGTACTATCGTTGGACAAGTAAATAAAAGAGATGTCACAGGACAACCGCTGAATTCCACGTTTGCAAAAGTTGCCCTACATCAACAGGATGAAAAACAAAGGCAGTTCACAAGTCACAGTGAAGAAAAACAACCCGTCAGCAGAGTGAACTGTGCTGCTTAACGTGTTCTTCACAATCATTCCCTTCCCTGCCCGTTACACCGTGTCCATCTCATGCCTGCGTCCCTGCAGAGGCATTTCACACAGATGGCAAGGTGGTCTCTGCTTTTGGTGGTCTGCTTCCTAGCAAATCACCTGGGAAGCAACACGCTTTGCCTTTCCAGCGGTGAGCAGGAATGCCAGCTCTAGCCACGTGGCACAGCTCAAGCTCCAGCAGGCACACACCATGTAGCCCACCGCAGTCCTGCCCCTTTGGCACATACCTTTATCACAGCAGGAACATAATGGTGTTGGCGTTAGGGGGGACATATCTCTCTCTCATACAATACATTGATTACATACCATGTATCACACGATATAAAATCATAGAATCATCTACGTTGGAAGGGACCCTTCCTAGCAAATCACCTGGGAAGCAACACGCTTTGCCTTTCCAGCGGTGAGCAGGAATGCCAGCTCTAGCCACGTGGCACAGCTCAAGCTCCAGCAGGCACACACCATGTAGCCCACTGCAGTCCTGCCCCTTTGGCACATACCTTTATCACAGCAGGAACGTAATGGTGTTGGCGTTAGGGGGGACATATCTCTCTCTCATACAATACATTGATTACATACCATGTATCACACGATATAAAATCATAGAATCATCTACGTTGGAAGGGACCTTCAAGATCATCTAGTCCAACCATCAACCTAACTCTGACAAAAAAACATCACTAAACCATGTTCCCCAGCACCATGTCAACCTGCCTTTTGACCACCTCCAAGGATGGTGCCTCAACCACTTCCCCGGGCAAACCAATAGCACATACGATACTATTGGAGCTGACCAATAAACCCCCAGAAGGGAAGGCAGCTCAGTGGAGATGGGCAAGGGCGATGCACCTATGGAGCTCCAGGAATAACGCGGGGTGTGACTGACCACAGCCATTGCAAAGCTGACTTTAGCTCAACACAAAGGGGACCAGAAGGTGGCCTTTGTTTCAGACCAATAGCACATACGATACTATTGGAGCTGACCAATAAACCCCCAGAAGGGAAGGCAGCTCAGTGGAGATGGGCAAGGGCGATGCACCTATGGAGCTCCAGGAATAACGCGGGGTGTGACTGACCACAGCCATTGCAAAGCTGACTTTAGCTCAACACAAAGGGGACCAGAAGGTGGCCTTTGTTTCAGATAAAGAGCGATCAACAGTTGAGTGGGTCAACTGGTGGTGTAAACATCTCGCCCGGTCAGGCAGACCAGCATCAGGGGAATGAATCCATAGCTCAGCCCCACATTGTATAAAACCTAAAGAACCAACAAAAGGATTTCAAAAACAGCAATGGGCTTGAGCTGGCCTCAACCCATCAGTTCCTTACTGGCGATGGGGGATGCCCAGCATCGTGATGGTGAGCATATTACAGAGACTGGTAATGGAGATCCCGTTGGCATTACGCTTGAACCTAGCTCAACGCAAAGGGGACCAGAAGGTGGCCTTTGTTTCAGATAAAGAGCGATCAACAGTTGAGTGGGTCAACTGGTGGTGTAAACATCTCGCCCGGTCAGGCAGACCAGCATCAGGGGAATGAATCCATAGCTCAGCCCCACATTGTATAAAACCTAAAGAACCAACAAAAGGATTTCAAAAACAGCAATGGGCTTGAGCTGGCCTCAACCCATCAGTTCCTTACTGGCGATGGGGGATGCCCAGCATCGTGATGGTGAGCATATTACAGAGACTGGTAATGGAGATCCCGTTGGCATTACGCTTGAACCGTGTATTGCAATTGCTGTATTTTGCTGAATGTAACTTACATCTGTACTGTGCCCTGATTTCAGTTTAATTTATAACATGCTGCTAAATCAGAAATCCCATGTAACAACAACTATGGTCAAATATCTTTGATATTAAACATTACACCCCTCCACATGTGGGATATCAACCCAGTCAGAGTGTATTGGACTCCAACTCACACACACACATATATATTGATAGATATAAAATAGGTTAATGGATGTGAATCCATAGGGCGACAAAATCCAGAGGTGTATTTCATTAACCCATATCACAGTTATTAAGCTTAGATCTACCCATAAAAATCGGTTAAATTTACATTAAGTTTTGTTTCACAGACACACTCAGTCTTGTCAAGCCTCTTGGTAAGAAATGCCAGTTTCAGCAGTACGTAGAAAACACATTAACCTCTTCCTGCCCCCAGAAAGCCCTCTGCCCAACGTAACTGCAGTCAGGAGTGTAGCACATCTGAAACATGAACTCACTCCCAACTGATCGTGTTTGGTGTTGAGGACACAACAGTGCTTTCATGGGGTTCCAGGCTGTTTTCCCAAATATTTTAAAGCAGTACGGGAAGAAAAAGGGTGAGATAAGTGAGATTGAAGAATCTAGAAGAGATACACCCAGAAAGTGCCACCATGTTTTCTTCCACTTCCACATCTACCTTACCCAGTGCTGCCCATCACACACTGTGGTGACACGCAGCCTCATTAACCTCCCCTTGTCCATACACCTCACTGCTGCTTCTTCTCCAGTACGTGCAGTTGTCATCTCTGATGCTGGCTGGTTCAACAAGAGAAAGCAGCTCAGCAGAGAGGACTTGCAGAAGGGCAGGTGGAGAGGCAACGAGAGAAGACAGGTACCTCTGAGGACAAGAATTAACAACAAACATGACTCTTCTGTAGGGCATGGCAAGACAACAGCCACCAGGGAACAGAGCTCTGCCATCAGCCAGGGCTTTGCTTTTCATGGCTTGGCTTTTGCACGCATGTAACTAAGAATCATATCATCTTAATCAAATGAATTATTTACTATGCCATACTGATAAAAACTTCAACCCCTATTTTTTACCTTAAAGCTGAAAAAAATAGTCCTGGAACAAAGCATTGAAAATTCCAGATCAAAATCATCAGCCTTTAAAAATGAATTATGGATACGAGAAGATTCAATGGAGGCACAGACATAAGAAAAGCTGTACTTGTGCAAACTAGAAACGTTTAAAAATAAAAAGTAAGTTTCTGCTTGTGTAATCCTAGAATCAGAGCCCATTTCTCTCCACACAAAGGTCTGCCCGTACAGTGCCACACGCTGCAACTGAGCTGTCATTTTAAGGCAGCTCAGCACAACCTGGAATATTCAAAGGGGCAAAGGATGAGGGAAGGAAAAACCTTCAGGAGAAACCAACAACTCGGTGCTTGCAGTCTAGGAAAAAGATGACAGAGGAACATGGTATTATCACAGCCCTTGTCATTCGTTACAGGCACAAATAGCCTAAAGAAGAGCTGATGCCTTAGGGGACCAAGCAGGTAGAGAGGCAGGGCAGGTAGAAATTGTGGAGATTTACTTCTGCTGGGCAGCTTCTGGCAAAAATATGGGAAAGGGAGCAAAAATGCCAAGTGATCTTCCAGTAGCTCTTGGTTTGCTTTCAGGTGTGAATGTATGACGTGGGCGTACAGCTGAGGAAGGGGGAAGGTCTTTTATCTTCCAGTGAAAAACAGAAACTTAAAAGATGTCAGATTTGAAAAAGTGGTTTAATCTACAGCCATCTATCCATACAGCCAGCTTACCCTGCTGGAGTCTCAACTTCGTAGATCATACAACTTTGGGTTTACATTGGAGGATTCTTCAGGAAAGGAACATCCCTCTCCCCCCATCCTGGTCATGTGGAGGAGCCACGCAAAACTTTACATACTGGTTCTATAAATGCTACGGAGTCCTCAACGACTGGCTTAGCGCAGGGAATGCCTGTGGGGTTAAGCTTGTTCTTCACTCCCAGCCCCCACAAAACCATCCACCCAGATTATTGCTGTTGAGACACGGCCCTCGCATGGATCCAAAAAGCATAAATGGAAAGACAACCAACCAAAGCAAAAAGAAAATAGCCCTTAGTGCACGTTTAGCTACAAAAACCAGAGTGGCAAATAGGAAAAGGACACAGATCTCCCAGTTACATTATCAGCTACTCAGTAACACTGCGAAAAAACAGATGCTGGGTAGTCACCCTTCTTCATTCAAGCGCAATTAAAAATCCCTCTATGCCAGCGTGTTACGTACAAAATCACATACGGTTAAAATAAGCAACTGAAAGAGCGAATGAGATTCTAATATACAGTACTTTCGCACAGCCAAAGCTATTTTATTTTACAAGATGAGTCTTTTGCGTTAATTTTTTTCCGAAAGCCCAGTAAAAACAGCGTGAACTACTTAAGCAAAATTTAAGAGACCACTTACAAAGTAATATTTGCATAGCACTGTAAATCTGCGTATTTGTTTGGGCACAGTTCTTAGTAGAAACTACAGTGGGTGACAGGGTTGGGTTTTCTTAATACCTTTGTTTTTAAACCAGATTCGGACGCATCTCCTCTGAACGTCATAAAATCAAGTGTAGGAAATAACTGTAAAAATGTACAAAAATATATACACATGCACCGTAAATGCGTACCCTGTATACAGTTTTATTACTCGTTAGGTTTGGCTAGTAACGATCATCTGGTACTTACACTTCCCTCCAAATGCCAGGTTTGCAACAAATCAGTCGGGTTAAGGATGGCGAGTTTTCTGAGAGAAGGTTTTCATTAAAGCTACAGTACTTGCTGGTGATCTTTAGGAGCGAGCGACGCGCCAGCTGACAGGGGCTGCCTGGCGTTCAGGCAAGTAGCATCCAGTCGTCACAAAAGGTACAGCTCTGACAAAGCTGAAGCAAAGTAACACGAAGGGGCGGCGCAGCTCAGCTCTCTGCACAGATGCACATGCAGGTAATAAAGGAGGTATACAGAAACCAGTTCATGCCTTGGGAAAGAAAAAAATTCATTCCTCGTTAGCCTTTGCTGCCCACTCTTCCTCCCTTCGCAAATTGGATTTTAGTGTGACTCATAAATCGGCGTGTTTTCCTTGAAAATACACCCTGGCCAAAATAAAAAACGAAACAAAACTTGTCTAAGACTGAAAATTGGTAGCCATAGCCCCCACGCTAAAGAATACTTCCAATTCAGATTTTAAAAGAGCTATTATATTCCAGTTTATGCTAAAGTGTCTGTTTTTAAAATACGTTTGCTCTTAAGATAAAATGCTGCTTCTGTTAAAGTTTTTAAAAATAGACAATCAGCAACACTCAGCTACTCTCAGAAGTGCACAAATTAACTTTCTTCCAAGTTTCAAAAACTGAAGATTCTAACTATGGGTATAGCATTTTAAGAAATACAGTCAGCTTTCCATAAACCTTGAGAGGCTGAGGATAAGAGAAACAGGGCATATTTGGCCTACAGATCCCAATCCACTGTCTTCCCAATTCCAAAGCGTAAAATATTTTCATGGCATTTTCTGGTGGCTACCAAACGTGGCACAGACCTGGTAATGTGGACTTCCAGAAAGTTTTCTCTCAGACACCATAGCAGGTAAAAAACCCACAAGCAACAACTGGCAAGGATCTTGCCACAGAGATTGCTGAGACAATCAGATAAATTAGTCTTCCAGATAAACAGGGGCAAGCGTGGCAGAGTAAGAGCTGCCACCTGTAACAAGGAGATAAGCCCTTCAAGACAAATTCTGCCCCCAATCAAGTGAACGTGGCAAGGGTTACCTCGTAAGTTGTCGCAGGGTGGTGTGACATCAGTTAGAGTTTGTCTGCCCACACACACACTTATCTCTGCTTTGCAAAGCTCCCGGCAATCGCTCAATTTTCTCAGGGCAAGAATTTGTCTAGACCTGCTGGTGTTCCTCCTCCCTTCAGCGATGCACCTTGCAGCTCTCAGCACGGCTCTTACCGGCTTCACATCCCGGCTTCAATCGGCGCTGGCAGCCCTGGAGCAGCCCACGATGGATCAGAAAGTTCAGAAATTCAGAAAAGAGTAGCTGCGAGTAGCAAAGTACAAACTCAGCGTTACCATTACGTGGATTTGCTTCTTTCCACAGGCATAAACCAGTGTAGTAATCGTCTGCTGTGAACCACAAACTTCACACCAAGTGATGTAAGTCACAGGCATCCAGGAGATGGTGTGAGCTCCACCGCTGCATCCAATTTTCAAAGGAAATCTAGGAATGGATTTTTCGCTTTTATCTGCGTTGGCCTCCAGCACCTGAAGGAAACATGCTTGGGCTAGGTCCGTCCAATTTTGGCCTTAGACTTAGTTAATACTTACTTCTCCAAGATGCCAAAATATGTGAACATTATCTGTCTTCAATCTGGAACACTCTGCATACTGTGAACTCAGCATTATTAAAAGCCTCCAACCCCACATTTCTTTAATCAAAACCAGATTTTGGGGCAGTCCCTAACAAAAACTGCCTCTTTAGCGATTACCAGCCATAACAGTGACCCCTCCTTGATAGATACTCCAACTGTTAGCGAAGTCCTTGTCCCAGCTCTCTTTTACTGGCTTCATCAATGCCAGAGGACCTGTTACCAGGTGGTGATGGAATATGTGAGCAGGCCTGGGAAGGACTCCTCTTCCCTAATAAAGTTTTGCTCCAAAGCGGCAAAGTTGCATTATCACTTAACACAACTATGCTACTTCAGATATATTGAGCAAGCCAACCAGCACCAAAATGCAGGAAGACAAAACCCCAGCTACGTGAGACGATTTTTATAGGATTGGTTGAACTGGAAAGCTCCAAGTTCCAGCTAAGAGGTTGTAACCGAACCATCTGCAGAAGATACAGGCAAGCAAATATACAGACATCAGTAGACGGAGACAAGTGGTATCACGTGGAAGTGAGCAGACACGCTCACTTCTTCTGTGAATACTAGGCAATTAGGACAAAGGTAGTAGTCATATTCATTGGTCAGCATTTAAATGTAGAGCCCTTCAAGATAAGTTAAAGCAGAACAAAGGAACGTTGCCCATGCTCTTTGTGCTAGAGACAAGTATTTTGCTCAGTAACGCAAAGTCAATTGCAAGAGCACATTCAGCCCACAATGAGCTACAGAGAACTATAATCCCTACTGAGCCAAGATCTCCAGATACCAGTTATCTGGTCCTTCTTCAGCATCAGCTTTTTGTGCCTTCCTAACTGAGAGATGCCACAATGCTAGCAGTCTCCAAGCTCTCCCATCAGGTTCTTAGATGCAGGTCAACATGATGCTACCTTGGAACTGCAAATCCCACTTTGAGAGCAACGTCACTGTTCTTCATGACAATGACAAGCACTGCCAAGGCCAAGAGAGTAGCATCTGTCCATGTTAGTCTGAGAACCATTCATCTTCGGAGTCAGTGCTGAACTCCACGGCAGTCAGCTTGCAAGTCCAGACTGGAGAACATGGTATTTAGTCTAAACAGTCAAGCAATAAATGGAAGTTCTGAAAGGTGGAGAGAAAAAATGTTCCTATAGCTTTTAAGTTTATTAAACCCTAGCATGGTTGAAAAGCAAAAGACGAAAAACATGATACATTTTTGTTTATTATTGCTCTTAAAGGGCTTGGTAGTCAAATATACAAGCTATGTTCTATTAAACCAGAAGAAAATAAGATATAAAATCTATGCTCACTTTTCCAATCCAAGCCACCTGCTAATCTTCATTAGTGACATTAACTTCAGTTATTTCCAGTCATTTTAACTTATACATACTCTGTGTACGTGTGCGCACGCGTGTGTATAAAAGCCCCTACTGGAGGAGATAAAATTCAAAATGAAGATATTTGTGTTGGTTTTGTACTGTTTTGTGCATTGCTGTACATTTCCGTTTTCCAAATGGTTATTGATATGTCAGTTTAGAAGAGCAAAATTTAAGTAACTGATGATGTATTTATTATATTTTCAAAAAGAAAGCATGACCAATAAGTTATGATAAGAAAATATGAAATGTTGATTATTCTCCCCTTGATGTACATGCATTAATCCCATGATTCCTAATAGGGAGTTACATGCACTAAGAGGAGAAAAGGATCCTGTAAAGAGAAAGGCTATTAATTCCCTTCTCCTTTAAGCATGTCCCCTCTTCTCAGCATTAAGAGGGGATTTAATTTTGTGAAATTTTTGTCATGCCCATTAATATACTTCTCAAAATCTAAGTATAAAACATAGTCAATGGTCAGCCTGCTTTGCAAGCCTCACTCTGCTAAGCCAGTACAATTTATATATACTCAGTATCATCTTCAGGAAGCAAGTGTACAGCATTTGTAACATCTTTCTAAGAAGCAAGAATTTTATCCATTACTGAATTACTTAAAGAAAAAAAAAAGAAAGAAAAGAAAGAAAAGCCCACTGCTTTTAGTCCTCTGGTTAAAAAAACAGGGAAAAGCCAGAGAGTTGTCTTTATCAGCATTTAGAAGTCCAACCATATTTAAAGACAGAGTACAAGAGCACCCAGCAAGGAAAAACAGAGTCATGGCCAGGCTCTGTTCTCCTCAATTCCCAAAGCATATTCCAAATTCCACTAGCGTTAACAACAGTGTTGCATCCCCTGCCTTAGGGAAGATTTATTGAGGGGACAAAGATGACATACTAATGCTGGGGCTACGGGTACAATGATTCAGCGAGGATGAGTATAACAGGAGACAGACAAGACAGGTCATCCTTCAGATCTTCTTGTTGAAAAGACCACAAATAAAAATTGAGTGCATGACAGAACAGTGACTAATGACCCCAACTAAAATATTTTTCTAAGTTACAAAATTGCCCTTCCAGTGTTTGCAAACAGAAAAATCTGTGGGAGGCTACATTCCAACAGTTAGAGTAAATACGAAAGGAAGGTAAATTATTACTCTCTTATCTTGGTTACTAGAGCAAAGATGAAAATAAGGACCAGTGCTTTGATAAGATCTGCTCTTTACAAAAGTTGAGATAAATATTCTAGTGGCAGCTGGGTTAAAAATACAGACCCCAAGGGTCACCTTTTGCCCTCAGCTGTATTTCTGCAACCCATTTCACCAACTTCTGAGCGTAGCCAAATGCAGATTGTGGCCTTTAGACTTGACCATACAGGTAGTTCCCATCTGTTTGTAAATAATTCTCCAGCTCTGCATACAGCAGCAATCTACAAAACCTTCAGAACGTGTGTTCGTAAAAAAAGAAAAAAAGGAAAAAACCAAAAAACCAAACGCAAGAGACAGGTACAGCCATGACTCTGATCTGTACTTTCAGTGAAAAAACCCAAAGGTCAACAAGCAAAACTAAAGATATTTAAAATCCCTGAAGAGACTCCATACTCTTTCTAATGCTTAACAGAACAGCTTACCTTGCAATATACTTCACATTAACATCTAAAGCACGATCAAGTACAAAGTGCAGTACAACCTATCATTACAGCACACAGGGTAAGATCCTGGCCCCATCTGAATCAATGTCAAAACTCTCATTAAAAGTTCAAGAGATGCCAGTATCGAAATCCCGTTGGTACAGACTTCTCCTTTTCAAATTCTTGTAAAAGACGACATTTTGAAAACTATTGTGCTGGTTTCTGCTGCTGCCTCCCAGTTTACTGAGAGAGGTTGGCTGAACTGGACTTTGGTGATAAGAGACGTGAACAGAAATAAAAGGAGAAAACGTCAGGAAAATTGAATAAGGATCCTTCTTTGCACAGCTCCAAATCCCACAGTCAGCATTAATTCAGAAAACAAAACAAGTCCAAACAGACTATTCAAGATTATCATACCTGTATGATGTGAAACAGGGCAAACAACGCTCAAGAATGAAGTAATATTTTGAAATTAAACGGCCTTGAGCAGTTAGCAGAAGATATGATGAGAATTTTATACTGTTTTAAACTAGTGGATCTGCTCTATGGTATGTGCTGATCAATAACGCACTGCTTCCAAACGCCACCATTCGTTCTCTCACATTACAGAAGTTTTAAGACGTTGCCTGAAAATAAAAGTATCAGTGTAACATACAAATAGGATTTCATCTGTAGCCATGACAACACAGCCTTTCCAAAAACGACTCTAACCCAATAACATCTGTCAATTAATTTAAGAAGGGTTGTTTTTTTTTTCCTGGCTCATTAATAAAAAAAGTTGGAAATCAACAAACATTACATTGGCTTTAGCAAGAAGAAACATTCAATGGCTCCTGTTGTAAAAGTGAGTGTAGTGCTCTTGACAGAAACCAGTGTATTCAGTCATCTGAAGATGCACGTGGCCATGGCCAATGCCCTCTTTTCTCCCCCACCCCCGAGTCCCGCAACAAAGCAAGAAAAATCAGTTTCTTCTTCCACCCCACCCCAGATTTTCTCCCATAGTTTGACTACAGTAATCCTTAAACAGGCAGAAAGTTGATGTGTTCTCTTCAGTTGATGCCTCCAACTTCTTAATTCTTGGCTCAAGTTTTATTCATTAATATTAGTCATCAGTTATTAAGAAAAAGATAGTTTCTAAGTGTTTGTTGTTGTTTTTTAACTGAAATTAATTGGGTACCATAGTCTGGTTATATGTGCTGAACTGCAGCTGTCAGTTATTCCTTCTTCTTGAATTCTTGGTTGCCATAGCTGGAGCCTTTTTCTATTTCAGTTACTCCTATCAGTCTACGAACTCCAAAGGAAGCTTTAAAATATAACAGAGAAATGGGAGGCATATTAAAACCAGTTCAAGAACTTAGGAAATTACATGTAAACACACAAGCAGAATGAACATGAGTTAACCCCAAGGCTACACATGGATCACAGGTCAGATGTCACTAAAAGAGCAGGACAATTCAGATTTAAAAATATAATTAATGCTTCTATGTTGATTAACAGGACAGGTAGTATGCACACTGAAGTATATCTCCCCCCAACCCCGCCATGTGGTTTTAGGGTTGGGTTGTTGGGGTTTTTTTGAGGGGGAAGGGTTACGGATTTGGGATTTTTGTATTTTGTTTGGGTTGGGTTGGGTTTAGTTTTTAACTCAAAGATAAGGTGCACAGTAAAAGTATGTTCTCCTTCAGGCACGCATAATAATGGGCTACAAAACTCACTTGCTAATGACTGCTATAGATATTGCCTAAGATATGAAGGCAAGCCTGCCTGCATTAAAGCTCTTGAAATAATATAAATGCTATACAATATAAAGACTACAGGTGAGCCCTAAGTACTCTTCTGCAAGCCTCATTCATATTAATTAATATATAGAACTTATTGGAGGCAACAGATCCTGTTACACATCACTTTGGGCGTAGCGTCTTCTCTGGTTTTATTACCTGCTCCAACAAGTCCCAGGAATGCAAGGATAAGGAGAGGTGATCCACTTGCAAAAACTCCAAAGCCAAATGTGAAGAGAGGAGAGAGGAGAACTGTGGCCCAAAAAAGAAAGTTTAGGAGAGTCCATGGTCTCCTAGGAGGTTTAAACTGCTGGCCAGGAAATATGCCTTCTTGATTATACATCTCTTGCAAAGCATCCTGGGAGAAAAAGAAGATAGAAGAAAACATGATGATAATGTTTGCATCAAGCAATACCAGACTAGTCAACTCCAGGACAATGTCAAGGACAGTATCTGTGATAAATACCCATCAAAACTTCACAGCATCCATTTCCATCTGCTGTCATTTATTTGGGCATTTCTGCTGACTGCCAAGCCTACTGAATTAGCCCTCTGAAGGCCGTCCTGGCCACCATCACAAACTGAAACCTTACCAGCCTCTCTGCTACCAAATATCCACATCTCCTCTCTTAATTGCTTAGGAATTTAGGGCAGTGTCAGGCCAGAGGCCAATTTAGGCCAACACTAGCTGCCTCTTTGCTTTTTCTTCCAAAAAGGTCAGCATGATGTAGGAAAGGACAGCAGAAAAATGCTGTATATGCAGCCAGAAGAGGAAGGCAAAGCACAAGCTGACCGGCAGAAGCAGCACTGTACTAGCCATAAGCCCCAGACTCCAAGAGAGTAGTTGCATCCTGATCTGAGCCTGCAGAGAGATGCAATCGAGAAACACATGACTCCAAGGAGCAGCAGGCCCAGAGCCTTCCCTCCGTTTGTAAGAACGTTTTGTAAGGTTTCCAAGCCATTACCAAGGACGGCTCGAGTTTGGCTACTTCTTATTTTCCCCCAGTTAAGCTGGCTTTGTTTTAGCTTCCCACATAGAGGGCTGAGAAGCACAAGGCGCTCCTTGCCAATAGCACAGCCTTTTGAGGACGTACCCTGTGTGGGAAGAGCGTTTTAAGGATTCCAGTTACAACATGTTGCTAACACCATGTCGTGGTTTACGCTGGGCTGGCCACTAAACAAATGACAGATGCTCTCTTTTAATCTCTCTCCCTTCCCGGAAGAGAAGGGAGGGAGAATCAGGGAGAGACACTTATGGGTTGAAAAGAAACTAAAATTACTTTAATGAAATATTAATAACAAAAAGATGGTAATATTAATAAGAAAATAATGAATTATATACAAAACCAATATCCAGCTCCTAGGATGATGTTGTCACTGACAGGCACTGGGAAAGTCCCAGACTGGATTCAGTGACAGATGGGAACTGGATTCAGGAATTTGATTCAGGAACACACGGATCAGGATCAAAGACAGACAAACAAAGTCCTCCTCAGACACTGGCCATTGAATAAAGAGGCTGACCCCTTTGATCCCTCAGCTGTTATACTGAGCATGATGCAGATGGGGTGGAATACTCCATTGGTCAGTTTTGGGTCACCTATCCCATCCCGTCCGCTCCTCCCCACAGGTGTGACCCCTTTACAAGAGGTCCGCTTCTGACCCTCCAACATGGCACCTAACGAAGCTAGCTGACCTTTCTTCTTATAGCAGTTAAGTACAAGCAAAAGCCTCTCTACATACCATCCCTTGGTATTAACTATAAACATCAGACCTTATCACTCTGGAAGCAGACACTATCTGAAAAATACGCCGTTAATTTCAGTTGGTTAGAAGAGACTTAACTGAAAAGTAAAATCACAGAAAACTGGTTCTGTTCTACCTCAAACCAGGACACACCATAAGATCAATATATAAAACACCTCCCCAGTAAAACCTCACACCAAAGTTGAACAGAGGTACAGCTGAAACCAGCAAGGAACACCATGCCCTCCATCTGCAAGCAAAGAAGAGCATTCAGCCCAAGGAATGGCACCACATGGCATGAACGCTCTGTGCTGCATCTGCTTAGCTCTGCGTTTACAAAGCAGGAGCCAAGCAGATACAGATCCCCCCTGTAACATACACTTTCATGTCTGCTCCTCCAGCCAGGCAACGTCAGAAGGAATTCTTACATCTAAGAGCCTTTTCACAAAGGAATGACATGACGGCATGTCCCAGATAGCAGGAGACAGGATTCAAAGATCCCAAAATTTATTTAGGGTTGTTTGGTTTGGTTTTTAAACTCTCTAATCCCATATTATGCTAAATGGCCCACAAGCTAGTTTGATAAACCTCCTAATGGGAGGTGGTAGGAGAAGATAATAGCTGCTGTTCTTTGTAAGAGAACTTCTCTCCCCTTAATTGAATTAGAGCTTAGGTATTCAAACAAGCAAAGTTAAAATGAACAAAAAGAAACTCAGAACAATCTGCTGCCTACCTGCAGGCTAAGCATAACCTTGGAAATGCTGCAAATGCTGCAGCATAGGTCATCACAGCAGAAGAAAGCCCAAAGTAACTAAAGTTTCTGTGCTCCTGTTTTCCCACAAAGATAAACAACGCAAAAATCAAGATCCACATTTCAAGTTCAACAATCCCGCAATTAGGTCTGGGCAACATTAGTTCTCTCCTCCTCCCCACAGAACTGTGGTGAAGAAATGAACCAGCTAAGGTAAAAGGAATACAATGCATGAGGAAAAGCTTTGAGCTGTTTGAAGGGATGCTGACCATGTGCCATATCGGCCTCTGGCAGCAGATCCCAGGGACTGTCTGTACCGTGTCACACACCACGGCAGAGATATCACCAAGAGGCAGAAGGAAAGTGACAGCAGAAGAAACACGAAAGCAAAGGACAATTGTAGCTAAGAGATGGACGGGCTGTCCCTGACATACAGTTATCAGTCTTCTTGAGTGCCTAAAGACACCCACAGGGAAAATGGAGCTTTTAGAAATGTATGAGACGCCCAAGAGCTAGACAATGGATTGCTATTAGTTCTCTGCAACTCAGACCTATCTCGGAATCCCATTGTGTTTCCCAGCAATTTGAGACCTATTCACTAGCCAGTCCTCTGTGGCCAAAGGGCTCTTCTGTACCACTCTTTCCAGAAGTTTGAGGGATGGCTGCCAAATTATACATAATATTTCCATCTCTTCTCTCCATCCAGTGGAAGAGTGTGCATTACTTAGTGCCTTAATACGCTACCCAAAGTCCCAAAAGAGAAAAAAGAAAGCAAAGTTGTTTACCTTTTCCTGGTAAAGCTTATGAAGCCAGTTTGCAGCTTCCTTTTCATCTTGAGGGATATCTTCCAGAGGAAATCTCCTGGTTTAGTAGAGACATTAAAAAAGGGAAAAAAAAAGAATTAAGGGAAAATCCAAGTATTTGACATTAGACCACTATTACGGAAGATCTTCTATTCACAGAATCACGGAATGATATGGGGTTGGAAGGGACCCCTGGAGATCATCTCATCCAACCCCCCAGACAAAGCAGGTCCTCCTAGAACAGGTTACACAGGAACTTGTCCAGGCAGGTTTTGAATGTCTCCAGAGACGGAGACTGCACCACCTCCCTGGGCAGCCTGTTCCAGTGCTCTGCCACCCACAAAGTGAAGAAGTTCCTCCTCATGTTTAGATGGAACTTCTTAAGTACAAGTTTATTCAATGAAGAGCATAAGCTACCAGAGAACTGGGACTTGAGTAACACCCGATTATCCATATAAAACTCAAATTCCTAAGACAAAAGAAACTGTACAAGCTTCTATCGATTTCAGAACATGAGTACAACAAGCATTTCTCACTCAAACACTGCTCTTCCTTCACCAGAACCTCACCGGCTGATTCCCAGTGAGCTCAGACTGAGGAACCCAGAGGTGGGGAAAGACAAGCAAGTGGCAAACCCCAGGATAATTGTTTGTATACACTTTGTTAGTGAAAATTTCATTTTGGAAAGAATGGGAGGGGTAGTTAAAAATTCACTTACTACCAACTCCAAGGAAAACATCTATAGCAACTGCACTTCTCTCTCCTTGCCTCTCCAGCCCTACAGATTGAGGCATGCAGTTCTGGTGCATGCAAAAATTATGCCCAGCTCCAGGTACTGATCTGACCTCACTGAGAACAGGCACCTTTTAAGAGCCTCCTTCTAGTGGTGAAGAGCCAACCATTATCCTGCATTCTTTTATTTTCCAAGGTAGGCCACTAACATGCTTGCAAATGTAGCATTTCTTTTCTCAGTGGCACATGTCTCAGTCCTGGTTCAATTCAGAAATCAGTTGCTCGATTTGTAGAGGGCAGGCACGCATCTTACCCTCACCTTGACCATATTTTGGTAACACTTAGACTGTATCAGGGCCTTCTTATAGCAAGGGTGACCTTTGGGAGGGCTCTGGACTCACTGATCCCAGATAAAACTTATTTGCTGCTGTTTAACCAGGGAATATGTTTCTGCAGTACAAACTAAAGCCTTCAAGTCTGCAGCAGCAGAGGGAAGATATTCTAATACAGTTCTAATATTTTCTGTATCCCATGAATTAATTGAACACTGGATTTTACAGATCTACTTTCATTAGCTCTAATAGGAGAAGTCGCTCAATTAATAAAAATAATGCTCAATAAAAGCTCAGTAAAAAGTAATTTGCTGAAAGCTCCCTGGTAAATTTGTTGCTGTGTTGCTATCACCACTAGAGGGTACTCACAGCAATAAATACCATTTGGTAATTTAGCTGATTATTTTCTCTGGAGCCAGTCAGGAGAAAGGCTGGATCCTCTGCAGAGAGCTAAGCTTCTTACCTCTGCACAGGTAACCGAATATGCAGATATGAAGAACAAGAGCTTATGTGCTTCCTTTCTCTGAGCTAAGCTAAGTCTGCTAGCACATTAAGGACATGTTCATTTTTCAGCAAAAGGACTGTAAAAATAGTATTCTTATTCTCATGACTTCCTCTCCAATACAGAGAAAGAGATTGGAGTGCAGAAAAGCCTCTTGAGAGTGTTGATTCAGTCCATAAATAATATTTTAAATCAAAATTATCTGCACGTAGTCATTAATTTCTATAATGGGTTACAATTAGTAATTTTACCTGGCAACATCATCCTCAACAGAATTTTATGAACTCAAATCTCTTCTAATGACTATTGAAACTACATTTCTCTTCTTTCCTCCTGCTACCTCGCCGTTAAAAAAACCCAACTTGCACCTGCATCAGCAAGGCATAGGATATTTAACTGAATGCAGCTGCTCTTCAAGGTATAGAGACATACATCTATGCATGTGTACTCCAGATCCAGCTACGCATGCTACATCCATCTGCTGTTACTATGGAATTACTGGCAGAAACCATCTGACCAGCTGTTTTTCTAGCTGTAAGTTGTCTGCTCACTGTCCTCACCAGGAATGTATCTGGCAAGTGTAAACAGTCAAAATGAAACCCCTTGCAAATGAGGGACCCCATCTCTCCCCATCACCTCTGCAGCCTTCTTTCCAACTGAAAGACTAAAATGTTGTGGAAGTTGCAGTAGCTGAGAGCCTAACTAGAACACGTGTCCTTCCCTTCCCAATTAAGGCTGCAGCATTCTCCCTCCCTTGAGATAGCATTTCTTCCACAAAACTGTTGCTGCTATACATCCACACAATGGGTAATCAGTGTGATTCCCTACAAAGTCCTTAACCCTTCAAGGCTCTGGTAAGACACACCTGCCCTGTAGGAGGAGAGCCTATAGAGCCAGTGCCATACATCTGCAATGCAGACCCATGGCCAGAGGGGAAAGGAGTGGGAAAGTAGCAAGGCTTTTTTAAATTTTATTTTATTTTAAAAACCAGACATCAACCTCATCACCATAGCGTAGCAATGTTTTCCAAAGTGTGGGTGCAATCCCTAGAGAAGGAGAAGTGAACTGTCAAAAGAACAACCAGGTGGTTTGTCACAAGCAAATATAAAAGGGAAAAGAAGAAATTCAACAGCGCGGGGTCAGTAGTTCTTATGATGACAAGGAAGCCTTTAAAGCAGAAGACAACAAGGAGAAAGCAAGAAAGACAAAATGTATGTGTGCGTGCACGTATGTACATGCTGCGTGGAGTCAGGTATTAGCAGTTACTCTTTCAGGCAAAAGAATAGTGACAAATGTGAGGAATGAAGCACCTCATTCATACAGTGTCTGAATTTCAGTATTACTTAATGTCTAATCTGCTAATCAAACCACGTGAGAGAAGGAGAGAAATTGGAACAGTAAAGAGCTTTACACGATTTATTACAAGAGACTACTGATGTTGGGCAGGCTATTTATACTGTGCATATGCTCACAGGGGACTGGGAAGGGGCCAGAACAATTGGTTTTCTGTTCCCATCAGAGAAAGGAAAAAGGTGGACTAGTGCTCTCACTGCACAAAACTTGGGGAAACCCTGTAACAAAAACGTGGTCATACCCAGGCTTAAAAAGTCTGCTTACTGCTCTCTGACTTGCTGGGTGATATCATGGGATCTCACACATGAAAGGGAACTAAAGCAAGGGGAAAACGCAGAGGTCTTTGCAGCCTGCAGAGAAGCTTGAAGGACAAGGAAGAGGGGACTACAGCAAAGGACATCACCCTGTAAAAACTGAATACACTTCAACATGCCAAAGCATGCATCTTAGGGCTTACCTCCATCATTACATGCTCACCTTACACACATATCTGCTTCATATTTCTTTCCATAAAGAATTCCTAATAAAGACGGGTTCTTGTTTCCTCTGAAATTTAGTGTTACATCATACACTGCTGAAACTGTTACAAAAAAGAAAATACGGCTGTTATATCAGCAATTCTAGCAACTGTGTTGCCAGCATCCTTACATTAGACAGCAACAGGGCCTTGCTTTAATGATGTCAGGTACCAGAATCCTTCACTACTTTGTGTTTACATGTTGTATCTTTCCATATCAGCCACCTGACATTCCCATCTACATAGCAAGTGTGTTATCAAAACACAATATAATTTGATGAACTTAGCAACAATGACATAAATGAAAGGTTTATTATTTTTTAAGACTGGTATCTGAGAGTTATGTGGCACAAATTAACGGCTGACATGCCGAATGCTTATCACTGCCAACTCACTAATTGTAATGGACTTAATGAACAATAGTGTATACTACACTGTGCTACAAAGAGAATATTAAATAACACACTACAATTAATGCAACGAACAAGTAGTAGCTTGCCAGTACCTGTTCCCCTGAGACACTGGACAGCAGTGGTGAAACCTTTGGTTCTGGGCAACAGGTGGTATTTCAGTTTAGGCAATCCCTTGGATTCAGCTACCTCCATACTGATACGATGCTTGGTCTCTGTAAAACGAGTTCCTTCACAGTACAGGAGAAACTAGTACAATGAGACAAAAGGCAAAAAACAAGGACATCTTGAGATCAAAAGAAACCAAGCAAAATACTGAAAACATGTGCAAGATAAACATACATCCATGCACACGTACACACTTAATTGTCTCATTACATTTAATTTTATCAACACTTGTACCAAATTTAAGGTGACAAAAAGTCTAAACGGTTATAACTGAAACATTTTTTAAAAAAAAAAAAAAATCCCTGAAGGCTTTAGCCTGATGATGGGCTAAACTACAAATCAGAAAAAGCAATCCAAATATCAGTACATGACCACTTTAGGAAAAAACGTATTAATCACTAGCTACCTCATTTAAAATGTATACAGTACAACCAGAATTATTCAACTGAATTCAGATTTGTTTATCTGAAAGCTTTTCTGATTTATTTTTGTTTCCTATTGGTATCAGTTGTGTTCATAAAAAATGGTGCCTTTCCCTAAAGCCTGTTCCTTGTTCATCTTGTAAGGCACCAATCTGACTGTGGTATTCTAATTAATTATTAAAGGCTTAAATCCTCCCATACTGACTTCGAGCAGCACAAAGCAATGATTTGTCCTTTCCAGCTTCTATATTGCCTCTGCTCTAGTTGAGAGAGAGCGAGAGAAAGCAGAAGCAATGCAAAGTCAAGAGCAGACAGAGCCCTTCTGAAGGCCCTCGGGTAAATTCCTGCTTATCGTTGGCCTTTTTGAAAGGTGGACATCATTCCCATTGCACCAGCAATAGGAAACATTGCTGCATTTGAGCACACAAACCTCTGCATCCCTGGCAAGCAATGGAGGGGGAGAAGCACAGGTTGCTACTACTCTCTCATAGCAGCATCATGCGACGCTGTAACATTGCAATTCAAAGGAAAGACTTGTTGGATGCATCACCATACACCTGCTGTTTGTCAGTACTGTGGTTGCTTGACTTTTCTCTGTAGTATATCCCCATGCTGTGCACCACAAAAAGCACATTAAATGAATGTTAAGACTGCAAAGCCATGGACAGGAGAGTTAGGCCTGCCAGAGCACAGTGGGAGAACGGGAGCTGGTCCTGCAATCTTCATTTGGCTCTTGCGGGCACATCCATTATGAAAACGTGACCAACCACCAGCACCACCACCAAGTGGCAAGGACAGCAACCAGGTACAGAGTGTGACGCCACAGCAATCAACCCCAGCCTGCAATGCAAGCTCTTTCTTCTGTACCAGACTCTCACCCTCCTTCTAGTCAACGGCACAGTGATCCTTCTGGACCAAGTCAGTGAGGGAGGTGCAGACTGTGCTGTGGTAAGCATGTGAGAAAGACTTCACCAAGGAAGGTTGCGCAGACAGCCCTAACTGTGGCAGTCAGAATGAACAAAAGTTAGGAAATTGATTTACTCACGTCAATTTTAATCATGATTTACATCACCAAGCAGGAAGTCTTGATTTAAATAATCAATGCTAAGTACGTTTTGCATTTATATTTTCCAGTTGTATTCCCTAGAGACTAGTCTTTGATTCTCAACCATAGAATCATTAAAACATATAGATTTGCAACTAAATTACAGTCTTTTAATTGGTAAGGGTTTTTCTTTTTCTTTTTTCCAACACTAATCAGAAAGGTATATTAAGTGTAGTTCATATCATTATCATTCAAGCAATTAAGTAGTTTAAAATACGTTCTCCAGATTCTTATTTTTTTTAACTTTGTAATGACAGAAAGTCACAAATGACGCATTCACAATGCACTACTTAAGGCTTACTATTTCACTATTCATTTTAACAAGCTGTACTGGATAATACTGAAAAAAATCACTTAAAATGCATAAAAAGCCCCTTAAAATGTTTTATGAGCCAAATTACATGTGCTGCTATAAAAGCAAACCAGTAAATTTATCAAAACGTTTGCATTCAATACTAAAAGAAGCTTAATAGGTCGATTATACCACTGTGCTGCCGCAGTAAAATCTAACAACATTGCCCATAATGAAACATAGTTGTTTCACCCTTGACTTCAAATAATGTCAAAATAAAAGGGGAAAGCATAATTGCAAAAGCAGATGTAAGCTTACACAGAGTTCTCATAGAGACTTTTTGAGAAACCTGTCAATGAACATACTAACAAGAACTTCCTATCAAAGTCCATGGCCTGTGCATCTCCCCACCCAAATTCTTCACTCATTTCCCCAGAAAAGACTTTTTTTGTTTATGTGTCTTTTTAGCCTACCTCAGATAATGTAGCTTAGGGTTATATTATGATTTTTTTTTTAAAAAAGTAAAAATAAGATCAGAAGGAATTAACAAGTATTAGACAAGCCTGATTTTTAAATTATCATAATGTTTCTAATCACCTATGCAAGCTTCTGAACTGTTTCCCAAAGGGCTTCCCTTACCAACAGGCAAACAGAGCAACACTTTACCGGCATATCCCAAAAGACCTCCTAAAACAGATTTTCCTTGACAACACTTGAAGATGAGCAGACCTTTCCCTGATATATAAGGCTACAGTATCACATGAGTATCTCTGTCGCCATTTCACTTCTAGCAGTCGATACTAGAGGAGCAACTCAACACTTACCCACATATATTCAGGATAATCAGCCAAACGTTTTAATCCTTCAATAACCGTATCTCTATCTTCTTCCCATTTTCTTTTGCAGAAAACAATCTCAAGGAAGTACCACGTCCAGCCAATTAAGGGCACATATAGTAGCTCTCTCTTAGCAAGAACTTTGGAACTCTTGGAGAAAAACAAAAATAACAATTAAAAAATGTCACTTGCTGATTTGTACAATGAGACCAAAGACATTAAAGTCACAACGACAAAGAGTTGATGGAGTTATATCTAGAAACTCAAACGCAAAAAAACTGTATGTGCATGGGATATAAACAGACCTATAGTCCTCCTAAGGAAGGAAAAACTCGTGGTGCCACATACCCCTAGCACTCCAAAGCGCTCTGTCATAGTCCAGCCACACAAGAAGTCAATTTCAAAGTTGTGATTCAGGATGATGATGACGTGTTCTTTCCCAAAGGTGTTCACTGTGGCCTCGTCTGAGAACAAGGTGCACTCTGTGCCTGACCACCATTCCAGCAGCATTACCAACTCTGACAAACATGATGAAGATGGAGAGAGGAGTTAAGGGTGCAGCTTTCAAAAAACATTTCATGTTTCACCTCCAGCCCCATTCAGTGCTCATTCTCTTCTGACTCCCAACATCTCTGTCACATTTTCAGTCCAACCCAGTAGAGATGAAATGAGAGCTTAGACAGGTATAGACCAAATAACATCACCATCCTCAAGCAGTATTTAGGGCACTAGATATATGCATTATGGATAATTTAACAAGTTTTTAACAGTGACAAGTTTGGGCATTATATTATGAATATGAAATTTCATAATCACTGGAAGAAATGCCAAAACTTTGTGTCTGAAAACGGACAGTTGAGTCGTTGATTGCTCCACTAAATGAGTCCAGTTTCTCCCAGGTGGAACACAAATTATGCATAGACGCAGCCTAATGCTTTTACTCAACATGAAACAAGCTTTATGGAGGTAAACAGACCAATGATGGGCTTTTAAAGGGATACAATGCCATAGATCTTCTGCAATAGATTTTAATATTACAACACAGGACTCTAATTGTTCTGTATTATGGTCATCAACACAGAGTCAAAAGCACCAGAGAATCGAGTTAATTTATCAAAATATGTGGGCAAAGCCAAGAATGATAACCTATGTCTTTCTTTTACAGCGAAAGAAAGAATTAGCCCTTTCTCATCTTTCTCCAGCTTTTCTATATCCCAGCATCTGTCTTACTCCACCCTGAACATTACCCATCCTTCATTACCCACTGTTCTTATTTCCCACCTCCCCTTTTTTAATCTTATAAAAAGCATTTCACTTAAATTCAGCATGCACTGAATGTAGTTGCCATGGTTAGCCTATTTCCCTCATTTCAGTACAACCAGGCAGATGGAAGGCATTGCCTCTACCATGGGACAACTATAAAAAGTATGAGAATAGTTCACTCTCCCAGGAGGAAGATTTGCTTCCATGCAAACTGTAGTCATTGCTGTTTTCTCATTTCAATGAGATACGGGTGCAATCAAAATTTGGATGCACAAGTATGGCTGTTAAAAAGTCCAACTCTTCCCATATAACTACGAGTAACTTGCAGGGTCAAAACTGGAAGGCACCCCCTTGGTTCTCTACATCAGGTTCTGCCACACAGTATTTCAGCTTTCCATCAAGAGGCCCCAGTTTTGCAAAATAGAGCAGTGCCTTCCTGCACAAGGGCTTCTAATCACAGATTCACAGAATGATATGGGGTTGGAAGGGATCTCTGGAGATCAAGACAGGGTAATCTATCCATACCACTAAATAAGAGTGGGTCCAAGTTTGGAACACATCAGAGAGAAGGCACACACCCTATTTGGGTGAATGATGGGGAAAACCAATCCTGGTCTGCTCAAGATACATAGCTTCTCTAGCAGTAGTTTTTTCACTTTTATTTCCCATGTGACCACTTATCCACCATGTTATTCCCCTGTATCATTTTCAAGACTCGCTCATTTGGAGGCATGACAAAAGTTATGCAACTTGCTGATGAAGACAGTGTAACTCTGGTAAACTGGAAATACAGCAGAGGGAAGACAGAATAATAGTTTATACCAACTAGAGGTTTCTATCATTGCTTTCCAGCTTTGTCTCCTTCACAAATGATGTGATGACTTACCTTTCTTGCTTTGGTTATCCCGGCTCAGCAAAAAGGGAAAAGAGGACAGCAAGCGTGTCCTTAGTTGCGAGCTATGCTCTTCCAAGCAGGTGGCCAGGAAACTGGAGCAGTGGTACCAAACACAGTGTGGTACTCTGAGCGATTTTACCCTTTCCATTGCTCTTTCTGTTCTAAGGAATAATCTCCAATACCTGCTACAGTTACTGCATTTTCTGCCCAAAAATAAAATAAAATGGGTGTGTTTCTTCCTCAAATTCAGAAAAAAAAGAAAAATTCAGAGGCAGGTGTGGATGATTTTCTGCAGAGCATTTCTTCTACTGTTCACTCTAAAATAGTGGAGGAAGCTTTGCTGAGAGATTTGCCAGAGTTCATACTGAGAGAGCAGGGTTGATGAGCCGAAGAATTAATACTAGGAAACAGATTGTCCTTTACAAGTGTACTGATAAATGATGTAATTATAACTGGGAGGGGAGTGGGCTGATTTCCTTTTTTTTTTTTTCTTTCTTTTTTTGGTGTGTGGGTGACAGCTATTTTGTGTGGCACCAATCTCCTGCCAACACTACGGCAAGCTCATCCTTCTGAACAAAGGGACGATAACACTTGCGCTACTTGGGCTGCTCCCTGTAGAGGACAAGCAACACTTCCCTACAACAAACCCTCTCCTGCAGCCAAAGCTCCCACACGCCAAGGCAAGCAGGGTTATAGCCTCATGAGCCACCCAGAAACAAAGCAAACAAGAGGCATCACGCATCTCTCAATTCAAAATACTAACATTGCAACTAACAATTGCAGAGAGGTGATTCTGCCACTTTACTCTGCTCTGGTGAGACCTCACCTGGAGTATTGTGTGCAGGTCTGGAGCCCTCAATATAAGAAGGACATGGACCTGATGGAGAGGGTCCAGAGGAGGGCCACAAGGATGATCAGGGGGTTGGAGCACCTCTGCTACGAGGACAGGCTGAGGGAGCTGGGGTTGTTCAGCCTGGAGAAGAGGCGGCTCCGGGGAGACCTCATAGCAGCCTTCCAGTACCTGAAGGGAGCCTACATGAAGGCTGGGGAGAACCTGTTTAGAAAGGCCTGCAGTGACAGGACGAGGGGAAATGGCTTCAAGCTGGAGGGGAACAGATTTAGATTGGAGATTAGGAGGGGGTTCTTTACTGTGAGGGTAGTGGAGCACTGGAACAGGTTGCCCAGGGAGGTGGTTGAGGCCCCATCCCTGGAGATATTCAAGGAGAGGCTTGATGAAGCCCTGGGCAACCTGGTCTAGTTGGGGGTGTTCCTGCTGACTGCGGGGAGGTCGGACTAGATGACCTTTGGAGGTCCCTTCCGGCCTGGACAATTCTATGATTCTATGATTCTATGAACACTGCAATACTAACATGCAACCAGTCTAGACCAAATGTGCTGAGCTCTCCAAAGGCATGAATCACCTGAAAGGAGCTGATGTAGGAGAGCTTGAAGTACAGACTACTCATATCATGAATTACATGTGCTGCAAAGGCTTTACATTGAGGTCAGAGCCCAACAAACGTTTTTTTTTTCCCCAAACATCTGCCAGAGCCTGGTTTTCAGTGGGCTAGAGGACATACCCAGATACACAATCACCTGTGTATCTACCCCTGCACGCAGATCCTCTGCCAGACGGGCAGAGCAGCTTCTGTTACAGACAGCTCTGACATGAACGCTCTCAGCTTAAAACTAAACAGCTTGGGGGAAGCAAGCAAAACACAGCATCCGGAACGGAACACCAACCCACAGGTTCATTGCCAAAAGGCCTCCACATAATGAAATATATTTCGTTATGAATGGCAACATTTGAACTGCTGCATTTACACGGCTTACTCAATTAGCTATAAATCACAACTGAAGTGCATATTCTGTCAGCTCTTCCATTACAGGCCATCAGCACTCTGCAATCCCACATAACATTTACGTTAATTTTCATAGTTTAATTTCTCAATCACTTAATTTATAATAGGCTATACATGAGGGGCTATCCTACATATAACCCAATTATCTACTCAGCCTCTCCAAACCTTTTTGAACAATAGTGCAGGTTATTTCCAGTGTATACAAGATATAAGAGAACAGCATTTAAAACATGATTTTTCCACACACAATGCTAACTTGTAGAAAGCACGGATCTAAACCTACAAGCCTCACAGGCACAAGCAGTTCATATCCTCAGAAAAGTCAAACTATTACTGCAACAATAGTTTTCAAGATGAGATCAGATTCTAGATTATTAAAAGCACATTAAGAAATTCTTACAAGCAAAGGAAAAAAAAAATTCCCATATACCCTGACCTCTCTCCAACCATGCTCATTTTGAAGTTTCTACCTTAGGGTCTTCTATTACAATACCCTTTCTCCTGACAGTTTACCTGCCACTCTCTATTTAATGTCCTTTCTCCTCTGCTTCTCAGGCAACATACTCAATAGGTAGAACAAAAAGCACAGAAAGGACAAGAAGCTTAAAAAGAAACTGAACTAGATACTTCGGAGAGCTTTTGTTGGTAGTACTTCACATTGATGATTTAAGAAATGTGGGTGCCTGTCAGTGGACTGCTCAACTGTAAGTACTCATTTGGGTGACTCATTTACCCGAAGTGGGAGTTGGATGCTGAGCTGAGCACTAAGGTAAGTGGCCAGGCATACTGGGAGGGGATGGAGAATGGAAACAAATTACATGATTCACTGCTGAAGCAGGAGATGACATTTGGACTAAGGAGCCTTCTAAACATTTATTTCAGAAATCTAATCCCCTGTTAAGCTGTATGAGAAGAAAAAAAAAAAAGCCATCCACAGGGAGGAAGTTTTGCAAAGGTCTGAAAGAGGAGAGCAAAGCAGCTGCACTCACTGCCATCCCACGGGCAGAGGAAGGAGAGTGACAAATTGCTCGTAAGAGGAGACACTGGCGTCACAGATGGACACCGTAGGGTGTAAGAGGACTCTGAAGTTGTCACACAGTTCAGCTATAGAGTCACCTACACTAGATACTTTAGGACAGATATATCTCTTCCTGCAGATCAGTCAACTTGGGCTCTTAAGTAAGTGGTCAAGATCACACATATGCTCAATACCTGAAGCAGTCTCTGTGAATTCCCTCTTCCTTATCACTCAGTACAGACTCTGATGCTGGATGAAGATGGTATGGAGAAAGAATGAGCAATTCCTACCAGTCAAGATAGGGTAGGGTGTGGGTGGGAAGAGCTTTACTTCTCACTTTTTTGAATAACAGAGTGACACTATGTATCAGTCCCTTGACTTCTGTGTGTGTTCCCAACATTTCAGGAAAGACGACTGCTTTGAACTGCTCTATGTCTAACTTACCACTTTTCTCTCTCTTTCTTGTGTCTGTATACAGATATGTGTATGTATATATTTTGTTTTCTTTAATTAACAAATACAGAAACAAAAGACATTCCCTTCCCCACCCCCCGCCCTCACATCCCCCCCTTCAAGCATACTCACGGCTCCAAAGTGAATAGGCAAGGCGACAGTTTACTCGGCGATAAAACTGCTTGTTTATGGGCCAGAGGACTAGCGTGCATAGTTGAATGAAGTTAATGATCAGTCCACTCACAACAAAGACGAACCCAATGAGGAGGTGAACTATGAACTGAGTCTTCAGAAAGGCAATGAAGCCCATGATAACCACTCAGAAGCGCGTGCAAGGGCCGTCACTCAGAATAATTGTCCTGAAAGAGAAAGAAAAGAGTCAAATGGAGATTGGATTTACAAGCCCTGAAGAAGGGCAAAGCAAGAGCCTTGAACAAGTCCATGCAACTTCAGCAACAGGAACCCAATCCAATGAACTCCCTGCTCTCCAAGCCTGCCTCATTCGGGTCCTCACACAAACTGTTGATGGTGCAAATCACTTCCAAAAATAGGAAGGAATCATTATTTGCAATTTACAGCCCACTAAGAAGACTATTGCTTGCTGAAGATGAACCTCACACCTCTCTTCAAACAAAGATCATATAATTGGGCTTAAGGCTGGGAGAAACGTAGAGAGCCCTGCGCTCACAAGCCAAGCAGCCGAGCCCTGACGGGTAAACAAGCTGCACCGTGACTGCTGGACCTTCAGGGGCTGCCGTCCCTCAACTGCAACAGGAGCCTCAGCCCCCCGCACCCAATATATGGCATGCCCGGCCTCTGGAGCTGCGCAAACGAACCCGTGCCTTCCTGGCCTGCCTTCAAAGCCACCGCTCTGTACACACTCCTCACGGACAAGCACCCAGCGCGGGTTGCCGGGGGCTACAGAGATTTTGTTACACGTTTGCCCCTGACTAGAATAGCATTACAGCAGCCCATCTGGGGAGCAGGCTCTTGATCCCACAGCACATTTCAGGATGAAGAGAGCGGGGCTGGTCACACGGAGAGTCAGTCTGGCAAACACTAAGGCATGGAAACGGAAATCAGGTATTCCCATAACTGAAACCCATGCCGGAGCAAGTTTAATAACTTCTCGCTTTGTCAAGCCACAGCTCCATGATCAAATATACCGGTTGGTGTGGCGAAAAAAAGTAAAATAGTAGAAAAACCTTAGGCTATGTAGCAGTGCAAATTTGATCTGGGATGGGGTTTGGTGCAGAATCTTGCGTCCCCTGAACTAGCCGGAGCACTTAATTCTGAGCACATGCCATATTTATACCAGATGCAGAAAGAAGAGCAATGTCTGAACCACCAAAAAGTCAGAGTAGCTTAGGCAGACAAGTCTGACCCAACACAAATGCAGACAGTACAAAGTTAACCCAATAAAATGTACTCACCAAACCACCAGATTGAGTTTATTCCAAACCCTGCGTTATCTGGCACTGGCCTTTTTGACCTGTTGGGTACTAGAAGCCCTCCAACTAGGCCAACCAAGCTGTCAAGCCACAGCCTCAACATCTCACCCAAAAAATAAAAGCATGACCCTGATTTTCTGCCACAGCTAAAGCTTGCTGATAGTACTTCTGCTCAGTTTCTACAAGTGTTGCAAATGACCAGACCAACCAGCAGATGGTAACAAATACTTCTGACAAGCCAAGCATCCAAAGCTGATGCAGAAGTTCCCACTGCCCCAAAATAAATACCTGCCAGCTGTGAGGAACCAAACCATTTTGGTTTGCCACCTGCTTACAGTATGGTGCTATTTATAAAACTCAAAAGCAATTTTACTCATGAAAGCTTGTTTTCTATCGTCTCTTCTACGAATCAGTTCCTGCCTTTCCAGGCACAGAGTGTCTAGCTTTTGCACAATTAAAATCTATTTGCATGATTAGTAATTTACCTACTTTGGAGGCACATTACAGAGGAAAAAGTTAGTTTTGATACAGCCACTATTGTGCCCACCACAGAAAACAAAGCAAAGCAAGTTGAATAAGCCGATATTGAAGCTTATGATGAATAATCTAAATTCTCCCATTGTTTTCCTGTAAGAATGGAAGAAATGTTTCTTCCACTAGTAAATTACTTTAAGAACAGCTGTTGGGAAGGAGAGACTTGCGTTTCAAAAGAAACAAGTGGAGCCCTCCTTTCTCTCCCCTTCCCAAAGGGGTTGTAGGGTACAGTTGTCTCATACAGCCAAAACACCATGCCAGCATTCAGATGCACAGGAGGTAGCCATGGTGTTTGGTGCTTGACTCCTCTTTTCCACTGGCATGTTCTTTAAGGCATTGTATTAAATGCTGCCAAACATTAAAGTTCTTCACTTCTAAGATCACTCGTTCTCTTCATCTGGTCTCTCTCAAAAACCAGTTCAAACAAAACTGAAAAGAACAATTGCCCCTTCTCCCTCTCTCCACACAACTATTTCTTGAATTTCTACCTGCCTTCCATACAGCCAGGTGCAGGCAGCTTTGCTGATGACTGTGCCTGTTGTACCCATTAGCCTAACACTTGCTGCCTTTCAACGCATAGCTTGGCCCCTCCTGGACAAGGGCCCAAAGAGCATAAATGGCATGAGGAAGAATAGAAATGTCAAGTATTATCCTCAAATAAAATGGTTTGGCTCCACTTCCACAGTCTCTTTGCTTTGAGCAAAGGGTGAAATACCAGAGTGCTAGAGACTAACTGTTAAGGACATTGTCGTATTACAGACCCAGAAGGACACATCCCTTTTTACAAGACAGAAAGCTGGAGATGTTGCAGCATGTTGCTTCTCCCACTTTGTTATATATTGAAAACAGGATTTATCACTCGTGTGCTGATGCTGTGCCCTGCACTCTGAGCACTGTCTTGCTCTGGCAGGACTCTAGAGCTGCCTGGCTCTGGTGGGCAACACGGCACAACCACCTCGTATGCCCACACCTGGGCCCATTGCACCCCTGGGCATCTTGGGGACTCCAGGTCTCACTGGTATTACTACAGGGTAAAAAGAACAGCAGCCAAAGCATAGCTGGCTCCCCTCTGGCACCTTACGAGGGCAGCATTTGCCCAATTTCTCCATAAAGCACAGCTGGTTTACTTGCACTTCCTCTTAAAATGGACAGGGATCAACTAAAAAAAAAGTGGGTTAGTCTGGTTGTCTGATCCTTCCAGTTTCAATGCAGGATACAGAACCTGACAGCGTCCCTTTTGCCAATCCCTCACTTGCTTGTATTTGACTTTTAAGATAATTAGAAGTTAATCTTAACCTAGGAATTTTTTACTTTTCTGCACTCCTGCCCACATAGGGCAGCCAGGCAGTTCAGGGACAGGCCAACAGGCAAAAGGTGGTCAGCAGCTGTTTTGCTGAATCCCACGGTCAGGCTGGGGAAAGGATGGGGAAATCAGTACTTGCTGGAACGAGGAGAAGCAACACCTCTTCATCTGACACATACATTAAGATCAGCTAAGTGAAGTATCTAGAAAGTAAACATCTACCCTAGCTTAAGACAGCAAGTCTCAGCACTATTCACTTTTTTCTTTTTTAGAGTATACCAATATCATGTGCATATTCAAAGATCTGCTAGTTAAAATCTTTTTTTCCTCCCTTCTTCTCCCAAAGCACCTTGTAACTTCACAACATTGAGCTCCCACCACAAAACCTCCATTTCCTCCTGTGCAGCCACACTGAGAACTGTAAGTGACTTCAGTACTCTTCCTGCTTTCACATCCTCTCCGAGTGCCTGCTTTCCACAGCCGTGGTACAGGACAGCAATAGTGTAAAGCCCAGCTCAAACCACACAGCACACTTCTATTGCCTTTCAGTGCCTTATCCTGCAGGGTCATTTGACTTTCATAAAGTCAGAAACCACTCCCCATAGTACTTCATCTTTATCTTCTCAGATGAGAAACTTCTTCAGTGCTTTGCATCCTTCTAGTCTCCCTCCCGTATTTATATATCTCTCAAGTAAAGGGCAAGGAGGCAGATGTCCTACGTATTTCTTGGGTATAGAGTCGCATCTTGAGGCAGCTCTGATGGATTCACATGGATTCTCTGGTATCTAAAAGATACTATGTGCCCCTCCCCAGAAGGAGGAATACAATCTTTTCCCTTTACCCAGCTTTCTACATTCATGAAAGTCCTAATGAATAAACTGCTTTGAGACTTTTACCTCTCTGCTAAATGCCACTGAAATGTGTCACCAAGTTCAAAAGCCATTAGGAAAGGAGAATGACAGACAGCGTGACTGCATCAGCCTCATTTCATCAAGAAATCAGGTTAAAAAACACAGATGCATGAAGTGCACTAAGCACGTTACAGCCATTTCATGAAATGTGGCCTTATTTATGAACTCAAAATTAAAAATTAAGCCATTAATCATTCTATAATACAGTATTTCCAGCCCGAACCCCAGGTTTTAATTAATTTGTTGCTATCATGTGTGGAACAATTCCTCTGAAGTTCATGAGGTTTGCATGAATATGAGCATGAAATTAGAAATTGGTCCACTGATTCTAATATTCCAACCCAGTGAGAATTAATGTGCTCAACAACAACAAAAACTGCGGCAGCCAGTATTTACATCTTTAGCCTTTTGCCTTCAGTTTTTTCCAAGCATGCTCTGTTCCCATTTTCCAGCTGCATCTGCTCTACTGTACCATATTTATCTCCCCTTATGAAACTAATTATCAGCATCTCTTGCTCTGAATGTGTTGCCCCACCCTGAATTCCGGTATTTTACCTACCTCATAATGTTTTTGCTATTTGGGGAACTGAGTGAAACCCTTACAATACTCAATTCTACTCTCACATTTTAAAATCCTGCATTTTTCAGATTAAGCTTGGTAAACCTCCTTCATCTGTATAAACTTGGCAAACCCTGTCTATGAAGAAAGGCTAATGTTGCAAGTTAAAGACAGTACAAAAAGGCATTATGTTGGCCAACCTCACCAAGAGTTTATCTACAAACTCTGCTCATTGAAAACACACAAGGAAAATTAAAAACTAATTTTTATCCAAAGTGAGAACTATCTGTTCCATGAGCTGCTTTGTGCTTATGAAGTGGACAGGGACAAACAGCAGCAGCCAGGAGCTGAAGAAAATGCTTTCCACCCTCCAGATTTCCCCGATGACCCAACTCAGGCTACTTTTCTTTTAAAACCAGCTATGAAAATCACTAGCATCAGTGCCTTTTCCCTCACTTTCCCTTACAAGATCAGAAAACCCACGAATACTAACCAATTATCCAACAGTTGAGGCAGAGATATGAGGGGAAGCTTTCAATACCACTGCCCATACAGTTTGGTGGATAAATAAAAGTACAGATCACCGTCTGGTCATTCTAGC